TAAGCCCCAACTTAATAAAGATCTGTTACCGTAATGCAAGCCTATTTTTCAAACTTTCGTTGTCCGTGGGATTTGAATCCTAGACCTGCTACTTGGAGAGGGTGACAACTTGACTACTTCACTAAGCCGCCACACCTCAAGAGGATGGATATTTATAATTCCTACTATATACTATTTAAGCAGTAAATCAAAGTTAAGTATTTTATTTATTGGGTATATAAGATATAGAGTTATTGAGAAATGAATTTTATATGAATTGTGAAGGATATCTTCTTTTAAAGATGAGAAGCTTTTATTATATATTTTCTTTTAATTAAGATGAACTATATATCATATTTATAATATATTACTTATATTATTTATAGTGTATATACTGTTTTAATTTCTATATAAATTATACTATCTAAACCTTCTATATCACTCATTGCTCTAATAATGTTTTTAATTGCTAAAGTTTTTTATCTTTTTTACAACTTTTATTACTAGTATTACATAAGAAATTGTTTATAATACACTCCCCTAACAAAAGTCACTAGCTGTTAATCATTTTTAGTAATGATTAGCAAGCAAAAAGATTCGTTAAAAATCTGCTTGTTCATAATTGTTAGAAGATACATTGTTAATATCTATATGGTTAGATAGTATAAGACCTGTAGTTTTAAAAAAGTAAAGAAAATTTGTTATTATATTTGTAGTTTTTTCTCTATTTCAAAAACATAAAGAGTTATCTGAAAGTGAATGAAGTCAGATAGTTGGTGCTTTGAGATGTGGTTCTCCAATTTCAACTATTGTATAGTAATTTAATCAATAGTTCAAGACATAGTTAACTATTATAAACAAACTGGTAAAATAAAACCTCCTGCTCAGAGTGGAAGGCTACTCGTATTAAATAATTATGATAAACATCACTTAATTCATGTTTTAAAAAGTGATTGCAAAGCTAGTTTGAATGTTTTGCAAAATGAGTTTTTGCAGTTGACCTTTATAAATGTTTCCACACATATTCTACAACGGTACCTTCACAAAGAAGGTTACTACACCCATGTTGGAAAGAGAAAACCATACATTAGTATCCCAAATTAGAAAATCTGTTACAACTGGGCAAAAGAACATTTGGATTGGACTTTCGAATGGGATAGAATTATTTGGAATGATAAGTCTCACTTGAAAGTGTTTTAGAGTGATAGTTGTAGCTATGTTTGGCACTTACCTAATGAAAAATATAATATAAATTGTCTTGTACCAATGTTTAAGTCAGATAGAAGAGGGATAATAGTATAGGGATGTTTTATTGCAGATGGTTTGGGTTTGTTGATCTGAATTAATGGCTGTCAAAATTCGAAAGACTATGTTGACCTCTTGAAAACTCATTTATTACCTTATTTAGATATTCTTGATCCTAATTTAGACTTTACTTTCCATGATGACAATGTACCAATTTATATAGCTTGGATCGTACAAAAATGGTTAGAGAAAAATCAGGTTGATCATCTTACATGGCCTGCACAGAGCCCGGATCTTAACCCAATCAAGCACCTTTGGGATGAATTGGAGCGTTGGATCTGTCAGTGTATTCTATTGCCGACTAGTGAAACTGAACTCTTTTCCTTTTTGGAAGAAGAGTAGTATAACCTAGATGAATCCATTTACCAAAATTTGATTAGTAGTATGCCTAATCGTATTCTTGCTGTAAAAAAAGCTAAAGGAAATCCTACAAAATATTAATTATATAAATAAATATAATAAAACTTTAACTACTTTTTAAAAAAAAAATTTTTAAAACCTTAGTAATTTTTTTCTATAAAATCGGTTAGAAAATTTTTATTAGTTTATTAATCATTACTAAAATGATCAATGGCCGGTGACTTTTGTCAGGGGAGTGTACTTCCATAATTCTTATACATGTGACTAATAAAACCTCAGTGAATTATAAGATCTATCTCTCTGAAATTAGCCAAATAAAGTAATTACAAGTCACTATCAACAACTTAAAAAGAAACTTGATTAGTATAGTATATAGATGTTGTAGCAATGATTGCTCTGAACTTCCAAACTATTGATCTTTGATGATTAAAGATTGACTACACTATGGAAATTTATATTACTACTCTGTACATATATACTATTATATATTTGTAATAGTTACTTAATTTGCTATCTCTATATGTATCACTTCTAGTTACTATATTGGTCTTTATACTGATAGTGTAAAAATTAGTTATAGCACATTTTGTAACATCAATAATAGTTCTAAAGAAGCTTAATAGCTATGGCTATGCTAGCAATCTCTATATAGAACTGGCTTTATTATGCTCAAAAGATATTGTTGGGATATGCAAGTAGATGAAAGTATGATAGTATTTGTAAAAAAATTGAAATTAAAAAGAATGATTGTTAATAGATAATTACCTGAGTTGGCTTGACCTATATGAGTTAGAATTTTAACAGGTTATGGGTCAAAAACTGCCTTGACTAGGTCAAACAAGTCAGTTAAATAGACAGATAAATTGCAACAAACTAGTTTTTTTGATACAGAAAATAAACTCTAATTATAAACAAGGTTGAGAAGTTTTTTGATTCAAAACCCAAAATTTTCTGATTTAATGTCTATATTTCAAATATATAATCAAGTTTGACCTATGTGACTATTTGACCTAGATTATAACTCAGGTCAAAAATGACTAACCTAGATCAAACCCAGGTTGCTATTTTTTGATATTGGTCACAGCTCTATAGATAGCTTTTAAATTTAACTATTATAAATAAATATGTAGTTGCATTTGTTATTTAAAGTAGTTTCTTTAGACTTTAATTTTCATTTTCTCTTAAATATATCTTTATATATATTTTAGATAGATTTGAATTCTCTAACATAGTAGTAAATATCTTTATATAGCTGCCTCTTTTATAAACTAATACTTCATATCTTCATATACAAAAGATTTGTCTAAATAAATTACATGAGACTCATAACTATTTATTCATTAAATTGTTTCTTACAACTCTTTATATCTTAATATACAATTGTTTTGTCTGACTTTTTTATAAAGCCTTGTTGAATCCTCTTAAATAAGTCATTTAAACAATATTGTATTAATTTGCCAAATTCCCAATAACTAACTAGTCTTGTTAATTAGGTTGGTTTTTCTGGAATTGTGTATAAGAGGTCAGCTCCAGATATAATACCAAAAATCACAATTTTAGTAATTGATTATTATATCACAATTTGAAGATCAACTTCTACTATATGCTTTTGAAATCAAGCTTTTGCAGCTTACAGTGCATAAACTGGTTGAATTTGAGGTTATGTCTAGTGATTTGAACTGAGAAAAACTTCTATATAGCTATTTTTAGAAGTCCGAACTGGATGCAAATTTATAACTAGGGTTACCCATGTAACTTAGAAATTGGGTACTCAGGTAAAAATGGATCATAGTATAAAAAGTAAAACGTAAAGATTTTTTGCTTTTAGCATTACAAATACTTAGAATCAATACTGAAAAGGGCAAATTTAGTACATGTATATGTTAAGGTTAGTTACTATGACTTTATAGTAATGTTTCATCTCATGATCAACCTTTAAGCGAAACTAGTCATACTAAATTTTATATCCTTCAACGTTTAACTGCACAAACGTCAGATTATTGTAACTGTATTGATAAGTAAAATGATAAGTAACATAATTTAGTTTATTTATTTATTTTATTTTTATAAATTAAAAATATGAGATTATATCAGAATTTCTTTTTAAAAACATTATTTTATTTACTAAATTAGAAACTAGTTGTATACGCTTTGCAGTAATGCAATTTCCTGTATCTGAAATCAACCTTTTACTGGATAAGGAAGATATAGGTATTGACAGGTACTTTCTAGCTAATTTTGCTATATTTGGGAACTTCTTTATCCAAATTGCCCACTATTTAAATAGATTCATGTTATTTTCAGCAATAGGAGTTCGTGTAGAGTCCAAATAGCATTCTAATTCAGCTGAAGAATTAGAATCAGTATAGGTTGAAGTAGATATGCCAAAAATTGAAAAATGTAAATAATTGTGGCATATATTGTTACTATTTGAGGAAGTAGTATATATTGATATTGTTTGTTTATGATTTGAAGTAGCTATATTTTTAAATTGATGGGTTAATTCAGCTTTGGCTCTTTCTTGAGTTTTTAGATCCCAACATGAGAGCATTTTTGGCCATAGATCCAAAAGTGTTGCCAACAAACCAATCATTAATGGTTTATTCCAATAATTAAACAAAGAATTATAGATTATTTGACACATTGACTTGATAAGATAAGTATTTTGAGAAGAATCATTAGTTAATTCTAAAGTATCATTTTCTGAATCATCACTATCATCATCTAATGATTCTTCATATGAAAGTTAGATGTATCTATTTAATAATTTAATATTTATTTAATTAAAGGTTGATTAAAAAATTTTTATAATATATTAAATAGATAGTTAATGCAATACTAGGTAAGATATGTATATTATTTATGTTTGCTTCATATTATTTTAATTATCTTGTTTATTGTTTTAAGTATCACTTGATGTTTCGAATTCAGCAAAGGTAAATTTAAGTGCTTTAATTAAAGGATATATAATAGATAAGGTAGCATAATATAACCTACTAAAATAAGTAGTGGTATCATCAAATGGTTCTAACAAAGTAACAATTTGTTTTAACAGATCCCACTTGTATAGTGAAAGAAGCAGCTTTTTTAATTTTCGACTATTAGCTTGATCATCTGGATTGTTAAATAAAAATAGCTTTGCATATAACCATTCTACTGCTTTATGCAATTTAAGTAACCATTTCCATAAATAGTATTTTAAGTTCCACCTTGTTTTTATCTCTGCTATATTATATAAAATAGGTCTTTTAGAATTTGCAACATTTACAGATGAATCACTATCATCAGAATTTAATATATCTGTTGGACTTTGGGTTTATGAATGTAATTCTTGTTGCACTTTGTCAAGATATTCACTTTGCTTAAGAGATTTGGTAAAAAATTTAACTAATTTTTTTAATTTTTTAATATGAATATTTATTTTTTTAAAAGCATAAGTAACTAACAATTGTAAAGTATAAGCTGAACAATACAAATGTTCAACACTCTTTCACAAATTAATTGCCTTAACCATGTTGCTTCTATTATCCGTTAAAATACAAGTTATTTTTCTATCTAATCCAAATTTTAAAACTTTTTTTTTTAGAAAAGCAACAATTTTTTTAGCTGAATGTGGATATTGTATATGTTCTATGCAAAGAAGACAGTCGTATACTTTAAAATCACTTGATAATCAATGAATTGTTATACCTAAATATCCATGTTTACTATGTGCGGTCCATAGGTCAGTTGTTAAGGATGCCGACTCGCATGTGTTATTTAATAATTGTTTCAAATTTTCAACTGCTTTAGGATAAGCATTATTAATTTTTTTTTAATTCTTTTTTTAGAGGGAAGTTGAAATGCTGGATCAACTATTTTCATTATCTTTTTGTATCCTTTTCCTGTAACTATGCTAAATACTAAATTATCAATAATAATCTATTTAGCAATTGCTTGCCAAATTTCTTGGTTTCGTGGTTCTTTATACATTTTAACTTTGCTTGTTCAAGAGCTTCTGCTAATATTTGTTGAATACCATGGTCTTGATTCTATATAATAATTAGATAAGTATTATTGATTATATTAAATATTAATTAAATAATAGTTAACAGAAAGCATATTTTATTTTTATTTTCATATAAATTATGTTTGTCTTGAAGATGACTACTCATATTTCCAGTGCTACCATCATGTAGAAATTTATGTTTGTATTTAACTTTTTCACTACTTAAATTCAGAATCTCAACTTTACAAATATTATATATTCTGTTTTTGCTTATTTCAATGTATTTCCATATCTAACTAGATTTTACATATTTTCGTCTATGCACTAATTTACTTTTTTTTGTTACATGGGGTTGATTTTCTTGAACTATTAAAACAGCCCTGTTGCTGGAACCAATTGATATATTATCGCTGGTTTCACAATTAGAATCAAACAATAAAGAATCCTCTTCAAGATTACTTTCTTTATTGCTCATTATAAAGTAAAGATCAAATAATAGATTGTTTAAAAATAAGGATGAAGTTGAAATACTTTTTTTCTAAAATATGTTATATATTCTTTTAGATTAGATATATATTCACAAACCAATTTGATTTTATAGAATAGACTTTCGAAAGTCTTTTAAAAGCAACTCAAATTACAAGTTTGTGATTATTTTTGTCTATATTTTTATTTGAAGTTTTTTTTTGTTTATTTATTTTTATTTCATTATAGATTGTGGCTCTTTATATTTCTTTTGTGATGATGAGTTATATTATTAATCAATATGTACTGACATTGCTTTTTAGTTTATTTGATTAAAAAATAATGCAATTTTTGCATTAATTTAATAGTTATTGCATTTATTATTTGCAAAGATTTTTCTGTTTTACAAAATACAGTATATGATGTTATATGTGAAAATACTACTCTGTTACACTAGATCAACTCTCAACTAGTTGTATTAGGTCAACTGATTAAGAATTTCCTCTATGTTTAATGCTAAGTTAAGAAAGTTCATGTTATAAAATTATTCTAACTGCTCTTTATAGTTAATGTTAGGATTAGAAAATTCATATTACTGTATAAGGTTATTCTAACAGCTCTTTATAATTATTATTAAGATAAGAAAGTTAACATTCTAGCAGCTCTTATAGTTAGTGTTAAGGTGAGAATTAGTGATAGGCACTATATAGAATTTTTAGAAAACTAGCTAATCAATTCATAAGCAGAAGTTTGTCTGATTAGCTTGTTTTTTGTAATCAATTTGCAAATCTACATGTGATTAACCAATTGTTATCTTACAATATTATAGCACCAAAAACAAAAACTTTAAGAAAAAAGTTTTTTTTTTTTTGGTATTAAAAGGTGAGGCCTTGATCATATCTTTATTGAAGAATTTATATAAGTAATCATAAAGAAGCAAAACAGAATGAAGATTTAATTTATATATAAATGAATAAATATAAACTACATGCAAGAATAAAAGCTTAGACTAATTTATCTGCGATCTAAACCTACTAGAGTAGTCAAAGCTCACCTAAATTTGAATGGTTAATATATAATTAGTGAGAATACTAAACTGGATCCACAAAGTGGACCAGATATTAAATTTATGTTTAGTGAGCCCAGCTGGGAGGCAAGAAAAGGAATCAGAATGTAGTTGATTAGGTAAGTTGCATAGACAATTATATGTGAAAGTGTTATAAGTTCTAGTATAGAGACAAGTAGGAGATCGTTGACTAGCTTGAATAGAAGTAAAAAAAAAGTTTTATGAATTGGTAATAATACTAATTATATATATATATAAGATTTATGTAAATATATGTAAAGAGGAGTAAATTAGTATTCAACTACTAAAACAACCAGAACATACTAAATCTAACTACATAATTATTCAAGAAATCTACAATCTATAACCCCAAATTTAAAAATCAACTCAATTTAAGAGTGCTTTAACTCTAAATTTCTTTTTGCTAACAGCTTATTCTGCTTCAAAAATCAAATTTGAAATTCTGATCTTTAAAAAAAAAAACTATTTTGTTAGGGCTATGATATATATTGTATAATATCTATTTACTATAAGAGCACTCTCCTTCCTTATATAAAAATCAATAAGATTGGCCAATTTAAAAAGAATCAAATTATAGTAAATTTTTTTGTATAGCATATGATATTAATATAATACATGCTTAACCACATCCTAAAATATTACATAATAAGTATTAGCACTTTTAGTATCTATTTTTTTTAATGCGAGTTAAAATCCAGGCAGTCTTTTTTTTTTTACCTAGTTTAGAAAGTTGTGTTTAACTAACTTCTCTAAATATGAGATTATAAAAGATTAATTTTAGAGTTAACTTTCTAGCACTCTTCTATAGTTAGAAATGATATCTGCAATAGTTTTTTGCTTGTCTAATTTTATATCTTTAAAAAGTACTTTAAAGCATATAAATAAGTTACCCAGATAATTGATTTATATTAGCCAATTAAATAAATTTCTGTCTATTAACAGCAGATTGTCTATTACTAGTAAGAATGTCTATATTATAAAATTATTCTAACAGCTCTTTATGGTTAGTGTTAGGATAAGAAATTTATATTATAAAAATTCTAACAGCCCTTTAAAGATAGAATTTAGTATTTTGATTATAGATACTTATACTATATATTTTTTGCTGATATGCCTATTACTAATATGTATATTAAAATATATATCATTTTACTAACAATAATTTCACTAACATCTTATTTCAACAATATTTTATTTCACCAACAAGTTCATTTCACTGACAATTATTTTACTTTTTTTTTTTTTGATATTCAAGTGACCTCTTTGGCCTGAAGACTTTTTATTAGAAGACCAGATAGTATATCAAGCTACATGTGCACCTTTTGAGTGTCTAATTTAAATAGTCCGCCCGAAGGTTCTACACTATCTGCTGTACCTGCACCCCAACTAGGGGGTACTTATTTAAACCATTTGGCTACAACTACCCGCTATTGCCCCTCTAACCCAGGATATTCCTCACCATACAGAAGTAGATTTTGGTATCTACCCCATGTAGATTTCGCACTTTACCTTAGGACTTACTAACCACAATTTGGATTTATTAATCTTTATCTTAAGACTAACTAACCATATATAGCTAATCTATCCTCGAGGTAAACCTAACAGAGTGGTATATGTCCTACACATGTATTCACCTGTATATTCCTATAACTTCTTTCTAGTTAGTACATATTGACCTGCTATTCCATATTAGTATCTCATGCCACCTTTTGGGTGCTGCCTTTCTACAAATGTTTCTCAAGCACCAACCTTCCTAACTAGGCGCTCATTACGTACTCCTTGCCTTTATTCAGTTTACAACAATCCTGATACCCATATTTGAACCATTTTTTTATCCAGATTCTTTATCAGTTTCTTTCTTACTTCTAGCTGGCAACTTGGAAGAGTTAGTCAGCCTAGGCTTTAGGTGCCTGAAGGATGCTCTCTCCTTGGTTCATATTTTCGAAGTATATATTCTTTTTCTCTAGTGTGACAACCCAGCAGTTTGGCTGGTGTGTCCTTCGCTAGCAGACCTGGTCACTCAGTTCTCCAATCTCAGGCCCTGGTTCGAATTCAGCTTTTTTGTAGTACTGTTAAAGATCATTGCTACCTCCAAATTCAGGACTTGCCAAATAGGTTTTCAGTTATTCTGGTTCCTCAGATTTATTGTGCCAAAGCTCCCATAACTAGATGGTGTGACTGAAATTACAGATTTCTAAATCTGACTGATAATCGACAACCATAAACTGTAGTACAGGCTATTTTTTAAAATTTGTCATTTGTGGGATTTGAACTCTAAACCTGCTACTTGGAGAGGGTGATAACTAGACCACTACACTAAGTCACCACACCTCCTCTAACAATTATTTCACTAACATTTAGTTCACCAACATGTTTATATAAATTCTAGAACAAACTAAAAATTTACTTGTTTTCTAAAATATTTTCAGTTTTGTTCTTTGAACCATCTAACTCTCTGAAAAATACATTACTATCTTCAGACTAAAGTTTAGAAGATAATGATATAATTCAGATTAGTGCTGGCATATTGTTATTCAAAATAAATGACAAGATGTCATATAGCAAGTCATTTTTGTCATAAAAAAAATAATAAATTTTTTATAACTACATGTCATTTATATATTATATAGTTTTTATTACTAATAAAAATCAGTAAAATACTTGTATTAGAAACTCAGTAATATGCAAAACTTTATATATACCCAATAATAAACTCTTCCCATCGATCACCTGAACCAAATTTTCTGCTAACAGAAAAACAATTTTTTTGTTGAAAAGTCGTAGCCTAACTTGCAGTTTGGCGAGAGGTTAACTTACTGCTATTGGGGACTCCTCTTTAGGCCATTCGGCATGCAAGCCAAGAGTGTTGGTATTTGAGATAACTGGCAGGTAGTGCCCTTGAATATAAAATCTTGGTGAAGAGACAAAGAGCTCTTCTCTGTTGATGAAGCTTTTAGGCTGTTACTTCTTGGAAGAACACAGGGGAAACAACAAAGAACTTGTAATTTCAATACACTCTTTAGAAAATTTTTAAAGTCCTTGCAGACATACACCCTCAACCATATTCCTGCTATATTTTAGATTTTTTAGAAAATTTTTTGCTAACAAAAAGTAGGAGAATCGGCTTACCCCCTCCAAAAAATCTGCATTGTTTACACGGTCTCAGTGTGGAATAGGACACTTTCAATTACGGTAACCGGTAGTACATGATGTGCTATTTTAGTACCTGGTGGACTGCTATTGGCAAAGTACAAATTAGGAGATAAACAAGAGTCACGAGTCTACGTGTAGGATAATGACTGACGTCGATATGAAGTAGAGGATTATCTAAGAATTTCTTGCAGGGCAAACTCTACCCTGAAGGTGGATTTAAATATAATGTGGACTTTATTTAAAGTAGAGCTAAATAGAAGAGTATTATATAATTTTTACAACAACTTGAC